AAGTTTATGGCGTCAGCTTTTGACCAAGGTGGTCTTCTCGAAATGCAGGTATATAATGAAAAAAGATTGGAACTTAAAGGGGGGTAGCAAGCATCAGGATGCTTTGGATAGACATGGATAGACCATTTGGTATAGGTTGATGTGAACATGCCCATAAGCGACTCCCGGTGGAGGAATCCATGCACCCCAGGTCTGGATGAAGTCGAAGCCGATCCAAAACCTCTGGAGTCTCGCTTGGTCTTGCCTGGCAGGACACTCCTGAAGGTCTCAGTCTCCTTCAGTGGCTCAGTCGTCTCTTTTTCCCACCGGTCACGGGGTCGGTCCGCCTCGCCTCTTCTTCCATCTCAGGCCCATCCTCGACCGCCGTCATCCGCCGTGCGGCCGGGCGGACGGTATGTCACCGACAGTGCGGGCCGACCGTGGGGGGCGGCGCCGCCCGACGACGTATCGGGGAGGTGTGGGGCGGCGCCGAAGGTCGCCGAAGCCTTTCAACAGTAGCAAGGAGTTTGGATGGCTTCCACGTGTCTGTCTGAGGAGTTGAGAGGGCCTGGATGGGCACTATGATAGGGGTTGGGTCTGCTTTTTGGCGGGGGCGCGTTTGCGGGGGGAGAGTTCAAGGTGAGGGTGTTTCGGATCCCATACTAGGCTTGTTCACATAATCTTGGGACAAAGGTTGTCTCAAACCTTCGGCGATGCATTCCCTCACAAGCAAGCACGCACCCACAGGCTGCAGAACACAACCCTGAAGACCCCCCCGTGGTGAAAGCGCACGAGACAGCAGAACCCCTTCATACCCCAAAACTCCGATTTAAAACGACGCAAACATATTAGAAGAAATCCTCCAGTGCACACCATCTCCTCATTCTCCTCCCTCTAAGCCACGGGGCCAGATCTTCCATCCCTTCGTCCATCATCTCTTCGATCAACCCCGCGCGCATCATCTCCCGCTTCATCGAGCTGATCGACTCCTGAAGCCGCAACACACAGCGACACACCGCGACACACGCGCCGCGCCGCGCGTGTGCGATGGCGCGTGCGTGCGCAACCCATCGGCGGCCTCCATCTCGGGGATGCGGACCAGGGAGTTCATCTGCTTCATGACCTCGCAGAGTTTGAGGACACGGCTTTCGGGGGGCTTGGAAGATCTTGGAAAGTCATGAACATTCATGGGCAGTCCTAGCTTATATCCTTAATTCTCCTCTATATTACTGGTCGGTGAGTATATGGGTGGCGTTGTGCTTGGTCTCGATATTGGTTGAACACTGGCGAACAAAAGTTGCATCTGACCTGATCTCACCTGTTGGTTGCTGGGAGGGTAGGGAGGCTGCAGCTTGGCGGAGAAGGATGCATCTTGGTGGTGGGGAAGTGGAAAGCTGTGGGCACTGATGATCCATGTAGGGAATGTCGAACTGCTTCTTGATGACGGAGCTGATCCGAGTTGGACATCAAAGCTAGTACTGAGTGAGCGCATAGAGCAATTGAGCAAGGCATGGAGAGCACCTCAGACTTTTATTCGACCCCTTTGAGTCGTAACTGGAGTCCTATCCGGTGGGTCCTAGCCCACCCCGCGAGGTGTACATCCTCAGCTAAAATTCATGTCTTCAGGGTGAAGAAAGAGCTCTCTCAGGCACCTGACTGGGTAGATCCTCTTTCATTACTTCTTTCGCAAGTCTGCAAGGGTCAAAGCCTGTCACTATAGAATTGCAAACATGGTCGACGCAGCCACTCTGTCACTGGCCAAGAGCGTCACTAAAAGCAACGGTCTTCACAGGACTTGGTAATCCGGCAACCGGTGACTGGTTGCACGGTAGCGGAGTTCTAAAAAAAAAGTATCTAAAAAAATTGTATACCAGGAGTCACATGTCGGGGTGGTGTTTAGTCCCATCCAGGGGCTGTGGATGTGGATCATGGGCACCCCTACAGTAACCTCCATTTTTCTTGCACCCCATCTGGTAAAGCCTGCTGGTAAAGCCTGCTCCCATCTCTTCCTTTCCCATCTCTCCCCTGCCCTTCTCCCTCCCATCCGACTCGCGCCTCGGTGGATTTGCTCATGGAGTCGGACAAGCGCATCGTGGCGGCGGTCGTCTCCAGCTCGGCCGCCGCCTGGTCGGGCTCGGAGCTCCCGCGCTGGAGCGTCCCGTGGAGCGGCCTTCGTTGTTGGCGGGGGTTGGGGTAGTATTTGTGGGTCAGGAAGTAGTGGACTCACATGATGTCATTCGTCAGATCGAAATAGAAAACGGCATCACTGCGACCTGTAGACTGAGGAGGTAAGATGTTGTGAGTTGTGAGGTAACGTGTTTTGCCTGTGGACAGAAAGGACTACCAAGTTGTTTGGGGGTGATGTTGGCTGTTGAATTTGAATGAAACACAAATCAGATGAAAGTCTGTGATTCAGATGATTTGCGCCGGTGTTCTGAGACCTCTTGTTGGATCAGGATGGATCTGGTGTCTTTTCGTGCAGCTCCAGTTCCAACGACAGAATGTGAGATGATCAGAAGAGGATGACGACCTCTTTTGTTCTCCTTATCCTCCTCATATCTCCTCCTTATCCGTCTTCCATCCTTTTCCCTTTTCATCCCCTTTCCCTCTTCCACCCAACACATCTCCCACCATCTCGACCGCTTCCATCCGACCGCTGCGGCCGCAGGACACTCCACACCGACACACCCTCCGACCCGTAGCTTCTCTCCGTGCCCCCGGCAGATTGCATGATGGATCTCGACGTGTACAGCCGCGCCTGGACCCGCCGATCGACCCGCCGATCGACCCATCGGGGGAGGCGTCCTGGAGTGTCCCTTGCAACGTCCTCCGCGCCCTCGAACCTCGGGGGCATTGGGGGTTTTGGCCGTCCAAGGGGCGTCCAAGAGTCGTCCAAGTCTGGTGGACCAGAAGAGCCCATCAAAAGGCCAGACTGCGGCTGGTGAGAGGTTTGGATTTTTGTTGCAGTCTGGCCCATGTTCAGGCGCATTTATTGCTTGCTGGATCTTTTTGGATGTTCTTGGGGAGGTTTGTTTGTGGGCCATTGTCGGCTGAAAACCGTGCAAACGCAGGTCCAGGTGAACACCCTAGAATGAAGAGGCCGTTTGCCTGCAATGAGGCAAAGTTTCTAGGTCTAGTCTTTGCAGGCACTGGTTACCCACAACATGCGACAACTGGATCCACTGGCTACGTGTTATTCATTGTTTCCTATCAAACTGGAACAGGTGGAACTCTGCCTGCAAGAGTACACCACAGATTTGGCCCATTCTGCCTCCCACGACCCAACATTCCACTTTCCGACCTTGCCGACCTTCAGGGCGGAAGGCTTCTCTGGAAGGGTTCTTCCGTTGAAAATCCTCTGTCTTCGATGCAGAATCCCTAACTCATCCAGGTCTTGTCCAGGTCTTTTCCCCCTTGTGGGGAAAAATGCCAACCTCCTCATTGACGTCTTGAACCTCCTCATACCTCTTCCTTTGAACCCAAAACAGGACGCCCGACTTGTGAGGACACTGCATCCTCCAGGGCGTTGCCAACCCGAGGCATGACCGCGGGGAAGCCCGTAACATGCGCGCCCGAACGGCAACGACGCGTGGCAACGACCGCGCAGGCCTTGGCCTTACTGGATCGGACCAGCGACTTGGCCAGCATCTGAACACTCTTGGGATCACCTCCCTTGCTGGCCATCGCCTGGCAGCCGACGCCGCAAACACCGAGACAGGACCAACAGATGTGGTGTTACATACCGGTTCAGAGCAGCTCTCCTGACGCAGTACCCGGACAAAAAGGATGTCCGCCTAGACCACAAGTTCTCCACCTATAGACCTGGGCCATAAAGCAAAGTGATTGAAGCTCCGCCCCCCAGAAAGACCCGCAAGGCCTTGATCTCTCCTCTGATCTTGTCTTCTTCCTGTTCAATCTTCCTGCAGCTGACATCATCCGAGAAGCTACAAGTATTCCCAACAAAGTCTCAACATGTCTCAATAGTATTGATTGAAGACATCAAGTCCAATGAAGCAGTTGCTTCGTCCCGTCGAACTTGATATACGGGATCTTAAGTTGTTTGGGGTCAGTTTTTTGGCTGGTTCCAAGAAATGGACGGCCACATGCAAGATCCATGCAAGATCCTGCAGGCCTACAAACACCCACCTCACCTGCTCTCTCCCTGCCCAAACCGCGACAGTGGGGGGGTGCTAGCATCCACCGAGCTCCGCTTCACCCTTTGACCGCGACCGGTCACGAGGGACGGCGCCTGATGCTGCGGTCCACACCACGGACCTCGGAGCGCAGCTTCCGCTGCCAGTCCCGGACCATCTCCTTGGCGGACTCCTGGCCGGTCTCGGGCCGGGCCGGACTCCTTGCTCGGAGAGAGATCATTTCGGTGGGTGTTCACGGTAGAGGGAGCGGAACGGTGTGACCTGGGAAAAATACCCGCCAAACCGCACCAGGTGGAACCAGAGGTGGAACTATATAGGTGGCTCTTTTCTGAAGCTTTTGCAAGTCATGCGCACGTGAACACACGTGCACGAAGACGCGCAGACGCGCACGTGTGCGCACGTGTGCGCAGACGCGCACTTTCTTCGCCATCGAAGCTGTCCCAGTCCTTCTGTGCTTCTTCCGTGTGGCCGGAGCCGAAGAGATTGATGCCCAGCGGCATGGCGTCCACGACGGCGTCCGCGTGGTGTGCGTCCGCGACCCGTTGCGCGGCAAAGCGCTGGTGTTCCGCAAAGGAAAAAGCGAACAGTGGCTCAGTGCCTACAAAAGTCCAGTTGCCAAAGAATACACCTGAGTGATCTTGAGTGTCTGAACTCATCTCAAAACAGCACCAGTAGCCCAACTGGTGGATGATCAAAATCGCTTCCTAAGGTAGGTCAGTCGAGTTTTCAGAGTCAGCTGCCAGGGTCTGAAGGTTCGGTGGTTGCTTGTCATTAGCTGTGTCCGGATTCCGGACGTAACGTCGTGAGCTGAAAGGCCATGTGTGAAAGGCAAGGTCCGCTGGTCCGCTTCCAGCTGCAAGGGGCAGGCAAGGTCAACCTCGAAGGAATAGCTCGGTTGGGGGCCAGTTTCTAAAGACTCAGAAGCCCCATGCAGGGCATCCTCCAGATCTTCACAATCATCATCTGAGCAATACAGCTTGGCCTTCAAATTGATCCCACCTCCTAAAGCTAAGCTAGTCTATTATATAATAATTAAGCCTAAAGCGGCGGGTCTCGCCTCTGAGACCTTCCGAACCCACCCAAGATGAGGAGGCCATCATAGGCCATCTGGTTCCATCTTCCGATGCTCCCGACAGGTCCTTTCCGCCAGGTTCTGCGCTGTGATTCTGTTTTCAGGTTCTTCTTTCTGACCCTCTCTAACTCTGAAGTTCAGTCCCAAATCAAGTCTCATCTCTTAGGCTCTTCTGATCTTTCTGTCCCATCAAATCTCCGGAAGAAGTTGAACACATGCCACACAAGAGCTTGGCCCCAGAAAGAAGTGAGAAAGAAAAGAAAAGAAAAAGAAAAGGAACGCACGAACGAACGAACGAACGAACGAACGAAAGAAAGAAAGAAAGAAAGAACGAAAGAAAGAGCTGAGATGACTCAATTGGATTCACTCACTTGGTGCTGTTTCAACATGTTCACGAGGCCGTCGGTGCGGAGGTCAAGAGCATCATTCGATGTCTTGACACCTATCACTGTACAATGAGATCCTTGCCTCATACTATCGATGCATGGAAAAGATGATCCAATCTTTGGAAGTGCCTCGACTTACCAAAGGGATCGCTTCTCACTCACAGGCTTAATTTCGTTGTAGATGCGCATGACCTTTCAAGAAAGAGAAAGCATGAGAAAGCCACATCCGCGGGTTGTCGCCTCTGGGTAATTACGTGGACATTGGGGACACGGCGACCGCGGAATGAACTCCTGTTGCTATGATCGCTGAAATCCGACTCATGGATCTCCATCCTAGCCCCACTCTTTACACTGAAGCAAAACGTTCCTCTTTTACCCAGCTCCTGCCCAGGCAGTGACACTGTGACACCCTGACACCCCCCGCCGGTGCCGGAACCACTCTGTTTCGCGGCGCGCCGCGCGCCGTGCGGAGCCGGGCATCCCGGACGTTTTGACGATGCTCGGTGAAGGGCGAGGGCACGAAGTCGGGATACACCTGCCGTCGGCGCAAGAGTCGGGGCGGTGAGAAATTGCGGAAGCGCCTCCGGCGCCAGCGGTTGTTGGAGTCAAATGAGAACGTGCTAACAGTGATTTTGGAGTGATCTGTTTTAGTTGGACAAGATTCAGCCCAAACGGTTTGCATCGGTTGGGCGGGAGCACAACGACTCCAATTAATGGGTGTTTCAAGGAGTATTTATCGATGATACAAGATGTCACAAGCAACGACTTGAAGCCATACTTCCAAACTAACAAAAAGTAGTACAACGCACCTTGACAATCAAAGAGAAGACCAACATGTGCCCTGGTGGAGAGAGTGGGATCAGCAGGATGATGAGGAAGGGCACCAGCACCAGCAGGTCCTCCCATGAGCGATAACAACGCGAACGAGCGAATGTGTGTATGTGAGGTTTTGTGAGGTACTCAGGGGGAATGCAGCGTTCATCCTGGAATATGGAGCCTTTCGCAAGGTAAAGAACATTGAAGAATCAAATAGAATGAGTTAAGTACAGGCAAAGAGAAACTCCTCGGGCTAGATTCTAGATGAGTCTTGCTTGAAAGGGTTGGACTTGAGGATGGCCTTTGCTCTCAGTTATATAAACGGCCTTTGGAAAGGGAGTCCGCCGCAACATCGGGCACCACTCTCTCAATCTCCCTCGCCCTGCGAAACTGGAGACAGTTCCATCAAGTCTGCGGGTATTTGGGTGGCATAGATGTCAAAGATATTCAAAGATCACAAACCAAAAAAAAGGACCCCATTGCGACGGAAAACCGGTACCCTCGGAACCAACCACCGGCGGTGGTGAACCAAAACTTCGGCAGTTCTTCAGTCGAGGGGGCGCCGGGACAGAAGCGGCGCGGTGGCGGCGAGCAAGGCACCAAGGGGCGCGCGCTCCTTGACCGCGCGGCGGCAAACGTTCACCTCCCTCTGTTGCAGTGCGTGATTCAGGAACAGCACCTGGCGACCGCGTGAGTGTCCGCGAAAAAGCGTCCACGCGATGCGAAACACGCTGTTTATCGATGATGTTCTTCTTATTGGTTTTTGGTTTTTGGCTCCTCGTCACGCGGGCCCATCTTGTCGGGGGGAAGCTCGACATTGAAACAGCATACAGTTGGGTCTATCGTATTACCAGGGCCCAGTGGATTTTTGGGGGCCTGGTTGCAGGCCTTGTTCAAAAATAGGACAGACCCAAAACCATAAATCCACCAGTCTCGGCACCCCTGTGCAGGCACCTTGAGGACGAGCTTCAAGGCATGTTGCAAATCCTCCGAGGAACTGAAAAGGAGTCGCATCAACGAAGGACGAAACGTGAGATACAACAAAACTTCAAATGGCTTCACCCCGTCAATCAAAGAAGGAAAAAGAAAAGATAAGAATGAAGAAAAACAACTCAAGCGCGATGACTTGCCTCATGCGGTTTTGTGCAGCTGTCAGCAACATATGTAATTGTTTGTTCACGCCCAAACAGACCTTCAAGACCCTCCCCCTCCCGTTTCCTTCGCCCCCTTCGGGTTTCCCGCGCACGTCGCTCCATCCGCCCCCTTCGCCCCACGCCAGAGAGGAGCCGCGCCTGGGAGAGGAGCCGCACGCCACTGGCCTGGAAGACGAGGCCGCGGCGGATCTTCTGCCAGAAGCTGCGCAGGGAGACCCTCAGAGGCACGCCACGGAGTAACAGAGACGGGTGCACCGTCGCGAACTCATCGGGTCCTGTTTGCACACACCAACTCCAAGGTGCATACTGCAAGCACATCTGGCCCACATCTCACACCAGAAGTGTCCACTGGGTGGTCGGCTTTTGTCTTCGAACCAGCGCAAAGAAGCCTTGCCCTGGCGACACAGGGCGTGGCAGTCAGAAGAACATGTGGCCCCCTGTCTTTGGCCTCAGAAAGTTGATCGGGATTCGGGTAAACAAGCTAAACAGCACATCCCAATCAGCTGGTTTACCAAATCAGCTAAATGGGATGTCTTTTTACTTTTTACCTAACATGTTTTGACATGTTTCAACCAGCTAAATGGCAGAACTCCACTTACCTGACCTGCGGAACAAAAAGCAAGCCGCAGTTGTCTCCATGAAGAGTGAGAGTTCACCTCACGTCTCACTGAAAAATAGAGTATATAAAGACTTCCAGCAGTCACAAACGGGTGCCTATTGGAGGATAGGAGTGCCCAGAACATCCACAGCCCCTGGATGGGGCTAAAGACCACCCAACTCCATGTGACTCCTGGCTGAAAAAACATCTACTATACTAGCAGCGATCAAAGACCGTTCCTAGTAGCCGTTCCTAGTAGCCCTAGTAGCGATCCAAAGACATCCAACTCCCGCTCCGAGATGACTCCGAACGCCCCTCCGAACCCCTCCCACTCCACCTGTAGTCGTCCCATCCGTCCCAAACTCATCGGAACCCATGGGCCGATCCAACCATCGCCCCTATCGGGGACCCGCGCGTTGGTTGATCCGCTCCACCTGTAGTCCCACCCGCCCGGCGATGCGAACCTTAGGGCGCGTCGCGCGTTCGGAGCGTTCGGAGCCCCAAAGCCGTTGAGCCGGTGAAGCCGTGCCAAAAACCGGCGGTTGTAAGCCGTAAGCGAAGGTTCATCAGGTACATGATCCTAAGAAGACCTCGTTTTGGGGGAGCGCCAATGTGGAGATGAGTTCCTCACAATTTGGTGGGTGTCACCGAATTGATCAGATCATGGCACCGTACTCCATTTGGCTATCGGTCATGGAGTATGAACGGACTAAGGAGGTCAACCTACGCTGGTGACCGGGGAGACAGGTGCCACCGTTCCGTAGAATTCCTCCTCGACAAAGTACTTCGGTCAACCCATTTGACTCATTCAACCACTAATAACAACTTTGTACACAACAGGTCACTAACACCCAGACACCGAGTGTCCCAACCCCGCCTAAAAATGGTTTATGCGGCTAAGATGCGAAAAACCTTCCCAAACTCAATCCCCATCGAGGTTCCTTCGCTCGCCCCAAAAACGTCCATCCCCAAGGAACGAAATGCGTCTCCAGCATCTGCAGCTCGTCCAGGTCCAATCCTCGGACGCCCTCGTCCTGGCGATGTGGCCCACATCGGCCCGGTGTTCACGGCCCGGACGGTCTTCGGCTCGGCGCGCGCACCCGGGTGGGTCTGCACGTTCACGAAAGCGATAGTTCCCGAAAGCGGAGGGGGCGGGTTTGGAGAGGCGGTTGGACCCAAAAGCACTGGTGGTTGGAGAGATTTAGTGGGTTTCTTCTCTGCGAGGGAAGATGCCGTAGATTTGCAGAGTGCCTTTGCAGGAACAAGGCGAGGAGGTGCAACAAATAGCTAGAGCAAGGCGAGGAGGTGCATCTGGCATGTTCTGAAGATTTCTCAAGCGTGTGCTTCCCACTGCGAATACCGGGAAAAAGGATCCACCCATCCCACACTTGCAGTATAGAAATGCTTCAAATGAAGACAGAGTCTTCATGTGAAATCTATTTATTGAGTCACCCAGACATGTGAACAAACATGTGAATCATTGTGAATCCAAACATGTCAAGCAGGCCTCTGGATTTTGCTGAAGGTATATCCTGTATGGAGCAACCTGGCAGCATCAGAAAAAGAGGTTGTTTTTTCACCACTTCTGCGGTTCCCTTCTTGGCTCCAGAGAAGTAAGAACTCGGCGTAAGTGGCATAAAACTAATTTCCCTTTTTATGACATCACTCACAATACAGGAAACAACCGGAAACCCATTGCTTCACGGATCTTCCCCACAGTGAAAGCAGGGTGAAACCCTGCTAGGTTGTGATGTTGCGATCTTGAGACGACATGCTAACCTTGGATTGTTGTATGCTTTGGCACCGCACCTGCTTGTCCAACAAGGCAAACTCATAGACCAAGAGCTTCAGGCGTCGGCCTGGCCGCGTTTACAGACCCAAACAGAAAGCGACTGAAGACTGGATGGCGTGGACCGTGTTTCCTGGTTGATGAGACCAATGACATTCTCGGTGTGGAAGCACTGAAAGACATGAAAGCCGAAAGAAATGGTAGGCAAAGGTAGCATGATGCTTTGCATTGCAAGTGGTACCATTCCAGAGATCGGCCGGTCGGGCCCAATGCAATGCAAAGACCAATGGTTCCCGGGAGCGGCTTTTTCCAAGTGTGATGCTTTCTCGCATGCGACTCCCGTGTGGGTCTCCCCACGGCTGTTTGAACAAGGTTTGAGCACCCCTAAGATGTCTCATGATTTCTCGCGCTGGTCCGAATTGGAAAGGCTCAGGGAACGAGCGTCCAGCATCTTCACGCACCTGACCCAAACTTCTTCACCTCACATCCACGCAAAACCCATCATTTCATGCGCCCAGAAAAAACTATAAAAAACAGAAGAGCCCTTTCGCAAACGCTCCTGGGAACAAAAAGAAAAGAAAAACAACCTTCCACGGCAGAGGTCACATGGTGGCCATCATGGTGGCCGGTCGCAAGCAGCGAACGGTCAAGTGCCTGAAATGTCCCACTCGGCAATGGTCGCTTGCTCAAGCAGCTTCTCCAGCTTCCAGGCCACCTGGTCTCGTCAGCGGATGGAGACTGACGAGACAGCTCCTAGGACCCCCCCAGTCTGAGCCATGCGCTACTACTACACCCACGTCAAATCAGGTACTACTAGTCACTATAGTTCGTCCCGGGGTCCCGAGTCCACATCACTGAGTCGAAAGAGTTCAAGTCTGACTCTCGGTCCGTGTCGTACAGGTTTCTGACGGTCCACTCGGTTATCAAGCCGAACCACACCAAAAAGAACAGGGCACGGGCAGGAGCACACTGCATCGGCACGTGCACTGATAAGCAAACCAGACAAGCTTATGAAGGGACGTTTCGGGAAGGCTGCAAACATCATGATGCACGTTCCTAACAAACCGACGATCTAAAACCCGGCAAGGCAGACCCATCACATCCGTTTCCACAGGCAAAGCCGACTCACAGAAACCAAGTTTAAAGTGGTGCATTTGTTTTGCTACAATAATTGCCTGTGAAGGGACCTGGCAACCAAGCACGAGCTAGTACTTTGACAATCACATTGGCCTTGGCTCAACATGAGGTACATTGAGGTACCACTGACCAATGCCATTGGTAGAGTGACATTTAACAAAATCTGTGGTGGCCTGGTGCCTAGGCTCCTAGACCAACTGTCTAGATTCCATCATCTCTTCCACAATCTATTCCGGTCCCATCGTGGCGAATTCCCAGCTCTACATACCAGCAATTAGCTCCACCATTTGTCAAAACACACCAACCCCACTTGGACCAATGACCTGTTCTTCCATGTTCTTCCATGTTCTTCAAAGACCACCGTTTCTCCACCATACACCATCCACCGGTACGCCACACATCCACGCCGTGCCACGCCGTGCCACGCCGTGCCGCCTTCTCGTAGATGTACTCCACGCTCGCCAGCAACGCCAAGTTCCGGCGCCCCGAAATCTCGCGGTCACAGCCTGGCGACGAACCACGCTCGGTCGACCACGGTGCACCGTGGTCGGTGAGGCCGGGTAACACGGTGCAACGAGACGAGCACTGCTCTGGAGAACAAGGACACGTGCGGGTCTCCTCTCACAGCTTTTTGCGTTCAACCCCGTATGGACCTATCACTTGGCAGGGCAGTCTCCTTCTGAGAAGCCGTATTGAAGGTTTAGGAGCTGTCTGAGTGGGAGCTTGAGGCTCGAGCAAGTCCAGTGCCCTCCATGACAGAATAGCATTGCGAGGCCTGTGTAATCATACTTGGTAAAATAGATTGAGAAGGTTCAATGTCCATTCAATGGCCTCTTCGACACTCCCCATCGCCTCTCTATCCTCTCTCCTTTTTGACTCTATTCTTAGTGATAGTGGGCGGGATCTGGTTTTGGGGGGATCTGGCCATGTCTGCCTCTGGCCATGTCTGCCTCTATGTGTTGTAAGACTTCAAAGCTGACGACTTCCTTGAAACGCGTGTCGCGGGTGCGCGCCCATCTATGTCCCCATCGGGGCCCCCGGCGGAAGAGTTCGGAGGTATCTTCAGCGCCCGCCCCATCCTGGTGAGGACTAGTCGGACTAGTGGCAGTGGCGAATAATTCAACAAGCCCTTCAACAAAGGAATGATTTGAGGGTCGCGACCTGGAATCTGGACCCTAAAAACCCAAGGAGAAACTGTTCAGACTGCTTCAGACCCACAATAACACTGCCAACGACAATCACCAAAAAACAGAGAGCCAAACGGAAAATCATGGAACCTCGCGCACGCGTTGGCGGCGCGCTCCAGGCGCCTGGCTCATCTTCTTCAGCACTTTGGATCGCTTCGCATAGGCGGTCTCCAGATGCTTCTTGGCCTTTCTTGCAACGGGAGATGAAGGAACATCGCATCAAAAACCATGTCTTCCTTCAAACATCCGAGGAGTCACAGATCGACCATCTTCCGAGGTATCAGTCCCAAACTCCAAATTGGACCTTGCAACCCCATTGGCCCCTTCCCTTCAACCACCCCTACCCTACTGGTAGCCTTTGCAATAGCTGCTGGCTGTGTAGGGCTCTCATGTCTTTCAAACCAAACTCAAGGTGTTGAGATTGTGATGCAAACTTTTTCAGGTGCCCACATGGCAATGTGTCAAAAGCGACCTTGGGGCAATGCCATTGCATCCCCCAAGACAGGCCCCAACCACCCAAACCGTTCGGTGTTGCGAAAGTGAAACCCATCACCGAAGTTCTCTTCGCTTGATGTTCCAGGGGAGGCTCGCAACAGTGGTCGGGCAAGTAGATTCCTAGATGGAAACCCATGAGTTGAGAACATCTTGTTGTGAGCCAAACCCACCTTCAGTGCCGAGGCCTGCTGCAAGGCTTCTTCTTTCTCGCCCTCGTCCACCGCCTTGCTCGGCAGATTAGACAGGTGATGCAGTGAGGTGAGTTACACGGCAGCGGATCAGTGTCAACGTCACCCAGAGCAACAGAACGAACTGGCTTAGACATAAGGTAAGTTTATATGGCCCCCATTGCAATGACATCTGGGACCATTTGGGTTCATTGCCCATTACATCATCACAACTGGTGAGGTAGGTTGGGAGTCCAAGAAATACCTAATATATACTTATTGTATTGATGTGATGTATCTGTCTGAGATCCTGGTTCATGTTCATAAGGGATCTGGAGCTGGGGTTGGTTAGAGTTAGAGATCATTGATACTACCTAATTATATACGGTCAATTTGTTCAACAAATCAAGAACCCCAGCTTTGGGGGGGCAGGGACAGCGGTGAGACCCCTCAGCTAGCGCCTCTAGGAGTGGAAGTGGCTCTTCTAGCCGCTGGCGTGGAGCAAGCCACGACCCCCCCAGCCATGTCCCATGCACCGACCGGCACCTGCCCCTCTTCTGGTGACATCCAGTCATTGGAATGTTGCTCCGTCTTCCCTTCCAGGCGCTCCTCGTTTCGGCATCGTCGCAAAACCAAAAAGAGACACCTTCCAGCCGCGCCCTTCTGCATGAGAACTGCCATATGCGGCCGTGAGACTGACACCGATTCGTGGTGAAATCGCTTGGCGCAAGGTTACCGCGTTCGGCTCGGTTGCAGGGATTCCTTCGCTCTACGGCTTGGGATGCTTAGGCATAAGTATCGAAACCCTGCCACCTCAGGCGAAAACACGGTACACGGTACACGTCCATACTGGGGTCCGCCGGGTCCGCTGGTCTCACCCACAAAAAACATACAAAACATGTCTGCAACCACTAGCTTTCAGGGCTCTTGAGACTTTGGATGCCGACGCAATGAGTTTGTGAAATCACACAGCACCAGCTGTGCACGGCACCAGGATGTCTGAACCATCTGAACCGAGGGTCAAACTCGCTACATGGTGGACCAGTGAAAAGGGCTCCAGGATCTGACATGTTCAACACCCCATAGCCCCATAACCAAAAATATAGCTCCACAAAAAAAGACATACATCCAGCCGCAAATCCCAAACCTCCCCACTTCATGCCCCACCTGGTCCAATCCGACTACACGACACCCCCTGACCGTCCGAAACCCCATCCCCCCGGAGCTCCCAGAGGTCGCGGCTCAAGGGCTGCTCCGCTTGGGATTCCTCTGGGCGGTGACGCGAGCCACGTGCAGCTCAGCCGCAAAGGAGTCAGTCAGTCTATGGGGCTTTCTGAAAGTGATGTAAACATCCATGTCACACGGAAACCACTTTCCCATCCTGCAAGGCTGTGTCGATGTCCACCGTCTCATCCGCCCGAAGATACCTCACATCGCACCCGACCCGGTCCGCGGCGGAGCGACGCGACCGACCCTTCAGGCGTTCTCCGCATCCACCGGCGGCCCGGACAGCATGAACTTGCTCGGAGCGGCCTTGACCTGGGTGGCGACGGCGGCAGCACCGGAGACTCCGGAGTTCACAGAGTTCAGAGAGAGGTGGTTTCGTTGGAAGATCGACAGGTTGGATGAAACCATCGATGTCCGATCTCATGAATACATCAATGCTGGCAATTGTCCTGCAATATCTTGATTTATATTGATCTTTAATGTTCTACGTTGTTAGATTTGTTAGTCACCACTTCGCTGCCACCTCTTCTCATCCCATCTCATCCCACATCTCTGCTTAAGAGCTTTTTTCGACCTTGATCTGAAGGCTTGTCAGCAGCTCTCGAGTGAAACTGCCCCCATGGGGCACCACTTCCACCAGCTCCACGGCCCGGCTCCCACGCGGCCCACTTTCTGGTGCACGGAATCGCTTCAGGTCCTGACCATCGAGTCATGTGAACAGTCATGTGACTCCAAATGGCTGGATAGCCCTCGGGCCCCAGTCACAGTTGACGAACATGAGAGCCAACATGAAAGCCAACATGAAAGCCAACATGACCTCCGGAAAGACCAAAAGGTCCGTCCGAAACTCTGTTATTATAGGTGTTCTTTTTTTTTGGGCGACTCCCACATGCACCCCCTGAATACCAAGGGTTGATCTTTGGACTTTATTTGTGCATTCAACGTTCACCCAATAACCGGGCGGCTTTTGGATCTCTGGTCGTGGACCCAAAGAAAAAGCAGTGCGATTCCGCGCTTGACCTTCAGCGTTTTCATGTCAGCACTGTGACATGGATGATCGATTGATATGATTTCCTGGTCCTACTTATTGCTATGTTAAAACTACTTATGTGAAAAAAACAAAACACATCAGTTCACTACAATCCACGGCCTCCCTGCGATTCCACGCGCGTTCCACTCCCTCCCTCCCTTCCAAACCCCGCCTCGCACAGCCGGCGACCCATCTTCCACTCCGCCAGCCGCCCGACGTCGCGGTCGTGCCACGAGCGTCCCAAGAGGTCCCAACACTCCAGGGCCACCTGGGCGTCCACCGCGAGCGAGCGAACCCGCGGTGCAAAAGACTCCGCTTTCCAAGCAAAAAGGATTGGAAAGGGAGCGTCTTCAAACTGCCCCCATCTTTTTGGGAAAATGCTCCATCGCTGCATCACAAGAGACTCCTCTAAGTACTGGCAGCCACTACAAGATACTACAATCAGCTCTGCTGCCTTCTCTCCTCCCTTTCAAAGCACCATTTGGTCCTTTGGATACCGTTCTTTCTTCGGCCGACCCCACCTGGAGCCCATTTCCACCATGAGCTTCCTCAGCGTTGCCCACGAGCAAGATCTTGGTCTCTCTGGCCAAGCGGGGAAGAGTCGCCAACATAGCAGGAGGCTGCTGACATTCCTGCACGGGGAAAAACAAAGCAGCCTATATACGTCTTTGGAAGACCAAGCGGTGGCCAAGCGATGTCTGAACCTGTCAGAACCGTCCTTACTGAATTAGACTGAATTAGACTGAATGAGACTTGTAAGTTTCAGATGATGTGTCTGAACCCTGGCGACTAACCAGCCATTCAGAAACCCATCATAATACTAACCAGCCCGGGTTTGATGTCTCAACTCATCATGGTGAGTACTATGTGGTCGCCAATCCCGCCACCCTCGGCTCCGGAGCATCCCATGATCCATCGCCCTAGTCCGTGAATGATCTGTGCTTCTCTATGTTCATCCTTGGGTGTTTCCCTATTTCTTCCCCATGTGATTCAGGCTACGTCAAAAAGGTCGTCGCTTCACATGTGACCTGCCAAAACATACCAAAACCCTGCCGGTGGCCACCCCGCCCAGACGTCCTCTTGTAGAGTTGTGGCAGTCATTGCACTAATGGCATCTGCAGATGGATGCATCAACAGCTGCATGGCTGCAAGCCAGCGTCGTTCCCTTTTCATCACAACCAAGGTTGAGTTCAAAGACGTCGCATCTGCTTCACCTCCAAAGTCTTCAAGGTGTTGCAAAGCCACCAACCAAGACCCCACGTGGGACAACCTTAGGTGTGCGGTGGCGGCCCAAGGTTGAGGAAGCCTGATCCACCATGGGGTACTCATGTAATGTAGTCATCTACACCAAGGGAAAAACATCTCCACACAATCCCTGGCTTTGTGTTTCTTGTTCTACAAAGGGAGTTATGATTATCAAATATGCAATTTTTCAACAAATGTGCCGAAACCCCATGAAGTTCCCACGGCCCAGCAGCATGCGCCGCTCCGTTTCCTTCAGCACCTCTACCGGCACCGTGCCACGCCGGTCGAGCTCCTCCAGCAGCCGTGCCGCACCGAGCCCGGCGCCGGCGTCGACGGCGCGGGGCGCGGCGCGCAGGGCCGAGGCCACAGTCACGGCATCGGGATGGAGCTGAAGGTCGATGGCATGCCAAAGGAGGCGCAACGACCACCGCCTCAGTGGAGACAAAAACATCAGGTCAGTTTGGCCTTTTTCATGGGACAAACCATCCAAATGAAGGATCAGTCTTAAGCTTCGGTGGTTCAGGCAGCTGACATGGTGCAGAGACATGCAGGATCTTAAGTGAAGAAGCTCCAAGATGCCCACGGTACTACCATGTTTGACGACCTGAATCACAACGACCCACCATGCAACCCGTGCCACCGCTGGCCCACTCGGTTGAAACGAATGACAAGTGTGGGTTGCAGATGATTGCAGTATCAACCCTTAATTACCCAAATTCTTCACATTTTTCAGCATGTCGTGCCCATTCCAAAAGGATGATCAATACAAAGCATGTCGGTGGCATTCAGACGATGGGGGAGCAGCTCATTGATGTTCTTAATTTTTGAAGTCCTCTATTTCCAAGCCAGCGAAAGACCAGCAAATGCAACATCGTAACATAGTCGACATAGTGCAGCATTACGTGTTCATCAAAATTCTAGGAAGTCAGTGTTGGATCCAATTGCAGGGCGGATTGACCTAAGACGTTTTGGAGGATCACTGGCAGCAAATCAAATGTGCATGGATTTATATAACCCTGTTCTGTGCAGTAACTCTCGGAACTCATTCAAACCACCCCCATTGTCCAAGTGACCATTCCGCCACATGTTGACATGCGGCAATGGCGCTGTTGAAGCACACCACATTGGGTTGAATCCTTCGCCAGGGCCACTGGTTGTGCTCGGCGTGCTGCAGCACCGACAGTGCCCGGGACCACTGGCTCGACCGCTCACACGCGGCCAACGCCGAGCCCAAGGTCGAGACGCTGCGCGGCACGTGGTGACGGCACATCTGCGACAAGAGAGCCAGGACGTGTTCCCACTTCCGAGACTTGAAGCAAGCTTGCAGAGGAATGTTGAAGGCAATGGAGGCATCCTCACCCTTCAACAAGTGTGGCAACTGTTTCAGAAGTGAATCGACCAAGAAGAGCATCTTCTGCCAGTCTCCCTGGGCCTCGGAGGAAGTACTTATCTGCGTTTCATCGAGATTTCTGAATCTGAGTACTTCACCCCAAAAAAATACGCAAAAAAAAACAGATGAAATAAGAAGACTAGGCCACTGGCTCAAAAAACTCATTCCACCGCACAGCACCAGAGGCCGATGGTTCCGCAAGCCCTCCGCCCATCCGCTCGTTCAGCACCGTCGATCCGCCCAAGAGGCACGCAGCCAGCACGGCGCTCGTGCAACGCTGCGGCGCCTGGAGGAAGCGGTCCGGAGGACCGGGGAACCTGGCATATAGGGGCCTCCAAAGGTAACAGTCTGGTAGAGTCTGGTCTAGTTCCCGAAAAGTGAAAACACAAACTCCTGCGCGGCTTCTACATGTAGCATGTCCATTGCTGGGTCGAAAAACGCGAGGTCGGACCCCACATCGCAGAAATGGAACATCTCAGACTCCGTTGGACCCACTTCCATCCCCGCACTGCGGGGTGCTGACCTGGCTGGGGGGGGTGCACCCATCGCCCCAAGGGGCGAAGCTGAGGGGCCTGGGAGGGCATAGCCCGTTTCTTCTCATGGGCCACCAGGATGAGTTGTTGGGGGGTCGAGGACCGCAAAATGTCTGGACTCAAAACTCATCAAAGAAGAAGAACAGGCCATCCAAAAGTCCAAGAAGAACATCAATTTGAGAAATTTCATGCGTTTGGTTTCTTGATGACGATTCTTGTCTATTGTCTTGCTTTTTGAACCTGAATGAAGCTGTCAAATGCCACCGCAAAAGGTCTGTTTGGCAGTGAAACAAAAGGGGTCCGGCCTGAAACTCTGGTCCCAACCCCATTGTTGTTTTGGAAAGCTTCATGTTGGCGTGGTTTTCCTTGACCAATATCATCGATGTTCTCGGGGTCAGTTTGCAATGTGATTCATCTTTGATCCATTTGAGCACAAATTCAAAGAGAACGCGAGTTTACAAAGCAACTTGTTTGGAGCTTGAGCACCTGGTTGTTATTTCTCCATGTCACATCTTGAATGTGGCTAATCTATGATCACCTTAGAGAAAGCGACAGTCTAGGCCAGTATGAGGCCTACAGCCTACATAATTAGATCCCAATTGAAACTGGGAGAGAAATCCCAAGTACAGATCCTCAATCTGCTGCCCCGCTTCCGCCCCCGCTTCCGTCCCGCTTCTGCCTCGAGGTAGCCCTCCTCACGAAGCTGCAAAAATGCGTCCAAGGAGACTTGCCATGGAGCCACTCGTGCGAGATGCAACACGAAGCTCGGTGTGAAGCGAAGTGGCGATCCTGCCGTGGCAAGAGGCAAACAGTAAGTGGCGGCAAAAACCAGGGCACAAAGTGTTGGTGGCAAACACGATCAATCAAGATTTGGGTCCAAACCTTGGCTGCTAAGGTTGAGCCTTTCAGAAAGTTGGGAGACATGTCTTGGTCCTCCACAGCCACATACCGGGAAATTGTTTGCTGGATGTTGCTGAACTGATTTTCCAGGACAAACCACTTGAGGAATGGCGCGAGAAAAGGTGTGGGTCAAACCATCAGTGGAGCAACTTTACAAGGCTCAGAGACTTTGGAGCGTTTTGGCTCAGTATTGACCCCCAAACAAGTCTCCAAACAAGCTGTTGTTTGTGCAGCTTAGTGCATGTCGTCTGGATACCCGGGCATACCCTGAGCGTGAAGAAGTGTGATCTGTCCGTTCAATTTCCTGGCCTATCAGTCGCGACTCGTCAATCAACGCAGCTGCAAGTGCCCAGCGGCTGCTTCGCAATGAAGATGTGACTTGGCGTTCATAGCCTAAGCTCAGGAACAATTATTGGCAGTTGCATGATAGGGCATGACTGCACCCCATAATCGTGAACACAGGGTGAAAGTTGCGAATTGTATGTCTGTCATGCCAAAAGAGACTTTAAGATAATTTGTCCGGACAGTTTAGGGATTTTTCCGGGAACGTTTTAGCAGCAGAAGGAGCAGCAGAAAAATAAGAGAAAGGAGCGAAGGGGAGGGAGAGAGGTGGAGGAGGAGAGAGGGAGAGAGGACAAGTGTGCAAAGGAGAAGGAGCAGAGACGAGGAAAGTGAGAGGGGAGGGGAAGATGGAAAAGGCATGCTACGTGTTCGACGGCTCAGGCCTGCCCTAAATTTTACGCTCGGGTAGCTCACAAAAGGTATGCTACATAGGAATGGCCTCTTCCTCCGCGATCATTTTCTATACACACTCACGCGCAAGTAACGACGCCAAAAGAGTCCAAAGGGTGTGTGACAAGGTAGCTTCCAGGGTGCGGAAACTAAAGCGGAAGCCAAAGCAGAAGCTAAAGCAGAAACAGGAGCAAAAGCAAAACACAACTGCACTACTGGAAAAAAATAGAACCAAAACTGGCCGGACAAAAGATCCACAAAAGATCCGCTTCCTCCCAGATTCGGCTAGATGTGAGGCCCACCCCCCCCCCAGACGAATTCGCATGAAGGTCATGCACAGCAACTACCGTAACTACCGTGTTTTCTGAAACTGTTCGTCACCAAGGAACGCTCCTTACTGGGCCAAAGCCGTTGCCAAAGCTTCGACGAAACGCCACGTGGCCGCCCGTCGCGGCCGTGCCGCCGCAGGGCCGCCCATCCTCGTGGCGCCCATCCTCGTGCCCCGCTGGGCATCGCTGGCCATCCGTTTCTCCATGGCGCGGTCCACCGGGAGCTCTCGGGAAATGGGTGTCCTCGACTGAGGGCCTTTCTTCCTTCGGCCTGCTGGAGCCAATCCTGCCGTCCGAAAATGGATCGGTGATCAATTTCGTGGTACTGTTCAGTCATCCCGTCGTTTTTGCATCCAACAAACCATGATTTCAATTAGATTTCATGGTGAGTGAGTGAGTGAATCTCCAATGGTGCCAAAAGCAAAAAGCTCAACCAATCTTGTGAACTTGTGCGTCCACTTCAGCACAAATAAGCGAGTGAACACTCGAGACTCGACGCACCTGCCACCACTTCCCCTCCGAGATCACCCACACTCCCACTCCCTGGCACTCTCTAAATCAGCTTGGGCACTGCTTTGTTGGCAGAGGAGTCCTGGACAAAAAATCAACATCAACACGTTTGGATTTGGGCCTGACCCGCAAAAGAACAAATGCACACCTGGCCTCTTGATACTGATATTTTTACACACCCTCAGTCTGCTTCCGGGGTGCGGTCGCGGTGTAGAGAAAATAAACGGTACAAAAGGAAACACATCACCTGAAGACACGCCTTGGGGAGATCTGACCAACGATGAGAAACGCCCAATTGACTTCCACCACGCCCTCCCCTCCCCACGCCGCCACCGCGTGACCGCGCGGAGAACGCCTGATCCACTTTCTCTTGCGCCTGACGTCCGCTCTCCCACCGGGTGCAGCGGCTCTGTGGGTCCAACGAGTCTTAGGTCCCCAACCCGGCCAACAAGCATTTGTCGAAGACCAACCCAGTGGTTTTAGGGTTCCGTGTTCATCTGCAAAAAAGGTACCATGATGGGCTACTTCAGAAGGCTTCGCCAAACTGGAGCGATGCGCCAAAAACACTGTCGGGACGCGCCATCCACTTTGCCCAAAGCGCAATGATGAAGACAAAGGGAAAAAAAAAACACTACAGTATCTTTTCGACCATGCCTCAATGTGGATGTGGATCAATCCCACGTTCATGCAATATCAATTGAGTCTTGGCCAGTCTCACTATATATTCCCTTGGAAAAAGAAAATCGATCTGGAAGGCATGTTGTTTGGCAAAAACGTCCTTTCAGAACATGTTTCTTCGACCGTGCATAAAATTACTCACTTGCATGAGTCACAATCAACATTTAACCCGTCTCCACTCACACCCTGCGCACCTCTGGTGGTCCGCTTGAAAGCGAACGCTCCGGCTGCTGTGCCTGGATCAAGCGGTTTCAGGCGGGCGGAATGCGGCAGAAGCATGTCGGGAAGTATCCAAACACACGTAAACATTGTGAGTTGTCTCTCCAAAACAGCGACCCGTTGTCTCTCCTCATGCGACACCGACGCTTCAGTGGCTTTGGGAGGAAGCAACGCCGTAAGGGTCGCAACAAGAACGGATCTCACAAGCAAGATTACAGGTTGGACACAGAAGAAATCACATACTTTGCACAACAATGCACCAAGAGTGGTGGCTTGGGTGGACAAGTGCACTCCATGTTGAAGTACTTATTCTTTGAAAACAATTGTGTCTGTGCCTCATGGTAAATCCATCAGGCTGTCGGGGTGATGAGGTTATCTCCCACGAGCAGCGTTGGCTTCACGGAGCTATCCGCAGCTGACATGCCCGGGAACTATCACAAGCCGTGCAAACCAGCTTTGTTTGTCTTCAGTCTAATAAGCTTAGTGCCAAGTCAACCTCCAATCTACCCGATCCACCCAAAGGATGGCTAAACGAAATGGTAAAACCATGTAAAACATGGTAAAACTCTATGGTATACTGGAAGGTGTACCAAGAAACCGAGGTCTGGGTGCTGCCTGATTTCTAGACCTCCCGGTCCCGGCTTCCCCAGCCTTCCAGGAGCCTCTCCCCGCCTTGGTCATGGCCACGAGGCGTTCCTGCAACTTGGCGCGGATCACCCGCAAGTCCTCCGAGGCCTGGCCACGAAGCACCCGGCCGGAAGTCCTGTGAGACAGACCCGATTCAAGAGCAGAAAACCGGTCCTGAAGTTTTTGGCACGCGCTTCGCCGCGGTTGTTTCTCTTTTTGCCGGTGGCCACTGTGGTCCACCGCATCTTTCGATCATCCACCGGTGCCACCCCCACTATCCTCGCCTTCCAAGCATCCTCATTCTCCGGATCGCCGAGTCCAGCCTCTCGCTCGAACCTGCGTGCGCGATCAGCGCTTTCAGCACCTTCCTTCGCCTTCGTTCCGCTCCGGCCCGGGCCTGTCGGCGAAGCCGTCGAGGAGGTTGCACAGGCCCTGGGGCACAAAGGGTAAAAGCTCGAGTTCCGCACCCTATCCGTGCGCAAGCCCTAGGTTTTGGGGGCCGGTATGCCTGCCTAGAGCAGGTCCTGGCCCAAGCTACCCCATACGCAAACCTGGGTAGGGTTTAGGCCCACCTTCTGGTGGTCATCGACCTCGAACCACACAAATGTGCATGCGACCTGGAATTGCAGGTTGAACCGGGAATGTTGTTTCTCACGTTGCGTTTTGATGCCACATATGCCACATCATGTGAGGGTAATAATATGTAATAAATATGTTCTGATCATGTTCACTATTGATGATCTTTGAGTGATGACTATTTACAGACCCCGTGAAAAGTGGGTTAATAACAAATAAACTTTGAGCGAATATGATTGTGATCTTTGGCCAAGGATTATCTACAAGCCCGTAAGAAGTGGATTCATTGCTTCTAAAAAATGAACTTTGAGCGATGATGATGATGATGATGATGATGATGATGATGATGATGATGATGATGATGATGATGATGATGATGATGAT